ACATCATTTTAGAAATACTCCTAAAAGTATTTTCTGCCCAAAACATTACTCAAGTAAAAATAAAAAAGTACATCATTTTAGAAATACTCCTAAAAGTATTTTCTGCCCAAAACATTACTCAAGTAAATGTAGGTAAAGGTAACTAACTATACCCGACTCTGCATGGTGAGCAGTTATTTATTTATTTATTTATTTATTTATTTATTTATTTATTTATTTATTTGAGAGCTGAGATTTAATTAGCGCAGAGTCTACAGAGACCTGACCAACCAGCCGTCAGGTTGTGGACAATCAGCTGTCAAATCTAAATCCCATCAAACAAGCAGCAGGTCAGTGAGTTAAAGACAAGGCGTCCGAGTTTTTACCATAATCTTGCTGGTGGTTCCTCTGGGATTTTCCACAGGCACTGAATTGTTGAAAACCAGAGCCCACAGCAGCCACACCGACTTCCCAATGGTGAACTTGGAGCCACCTGACTCTGGGAGAGAAGGAGTTAAATAAATGAATCTTCCAGGAAACCAAAACAGTTTAAAGTATTTGTGTCACAGTGGAAAATGTCCCGATGCCCTGACACTAACATGTGGCTCACCAGCTATTTTCTGTTTCTTTTAAATRACAACCTTGTTAGACTTTATTAAAGCTCTGCAGGAACTTCCTTATTACCCAATGGTTAAAAATAAGTGAACCAAAGCTGTTAACCATGCAAGACAATGTGCCAAACAAAGTCCAATACAAATATAAAGATCCATTTTAGTATGGAGGGCTATAAGGGTGCCCAATGCCTTTTGAATGAAATGTTAAATCTCTGTTGAATATGAAAAAATAAGACTAAATAAATAAACAAATGAACATGAAATTAAAGCTAGTTAAAAAAATAAATGACAACCACTGATGAGCATTTGCCCACCTGCCACTCGTCCTCAGTTTAATTCTGCTTCTGTCACTTTATTAAACTTTAATGTTTAACATTTCCCAGTCATTCAGCAGAACGATTTGAGCAAAAGCCAGAAAATTGTTAGAATTAACGCAGAACTGACAAGTGATAATAAAACGTCAAAAACCAGCCTCCATCCCACCGCCATTGTTTGTTTTATTAAATATAAATCATCTATACTGTTGAGTGATTGCTCTGACGTGTGTAGTCAAAAAAATAACGTGATAACTAAAAAGAAGACATATAAAAAAATGCAGATGATTTGCATAGTTTGAGCAGACGCCCTCCTCACACCAACCTCCCCCCCCTTTGTTTACATAACTGACAAAGTGACAAGATGGTAATAATGCTATGAAAGGAGCAGCGGAGTCGGGTTGATTGGCGTGCCGAAGCGGCGGCGACTCTGTCTCTTACTCTTGGCGCTCTGCAGACTGCGGTTGTATCCCACGGGGCTGAAGAACTCAAAGATGAAAACTGTGACAGCCACCACTGACAGGCACATCACAAACATCATCACCCACACCGCCGGGCTGTAGGGCTCTAGAAAAAAAAAAAAAAACACATGCAAACATCTGATGAAGTTGCAGACATGTGCCTGTCATGTGTAAAGTACCACTTTCAGAAAGTGAAAGGCTGGCAGTTATAATTGACCTGGAGGCGATGAAGAGGAGCAAAACTTTGAAATCTGAATGCAGCGCTGTCGTAATTTCAGTAGCAACATTTTCACCATCGTGGGTTGGTTTTTATATTAATTTTAGGAAAAGATTTTGTTTGGATTTTTATTTTTATTACACATAACTTGGAAAAATCTGTTTTGTGCAGACAAAATCTCTTGGAAGTATGCCCTAAAACCAACAGGAAGTCAGCCATTTTGGGTCAAAGGTCAAATTTTCCTTAAGTTTCACTTTCACTCACGTAAAACTTTTGCAAACTCCTCCTTGGGACTTTGACCTATCGGCTTCAAACTCTGTCAGTATGCTGTTAAGACATGAAGGATTAAAAGTTATTCAGATTTTCTTGTGATAATGACTTAATACGTCATTATCATGTAAAAATCGACGTATTATGTCGTTATCACAAAATAACCAAGATTGTTTTCTTGAGATAACGAGTTATGGTTTTCCTCTTGTGCATCAACCAGTTTGTCTTCTTGTTTACCAAATGATACACAAGAAAAAGAAAACATAGTGTTATTTCAAGAAAACCATTGGGAAATTAACTCATCTTGAGAAAACATTGTCATTTCGTGATAACAACTTAAAATTTGTTGTTATCATGAGAAAACCATGGAAAAAAAATTATCAGCAGAAAATGACCACTCTCGGGTTTTGTAGTAAAGTATATGTGACTCATCACATYAAACTAAGGATTATGTTTAATTTGTTCCAAATGACCTGATAACATTTTTAGATTTTGACATTTTAAGCTACATTTTTGGATCATCCTGATGTCATGAGCAGTTCCAAAAATATGCCTTTATTTGTATTCTTAATCAGGACATTGATATTTGCTCTGAATCCTATGTTTAGGTTATTATAATGATAACTTAGTAATGCAGTTTTACAAAGGAAACAAGCAGTATTTACATATTAAGATTTACCAGCTGAAAAGAATAATAAAAAATGTTAGCTAACAGAAAAAATGACTAAAATTTAAGTATTTTCTACTCAAAATTATATTTTTGTAACTAATACTCAAAAAATGGCCTCAAAAAAGTCTTAAATGTTATATTCAAATGAATCACAGATAATGTATTTTTTCAATAAATTTGGACAAAATGCATTTGCTGCAAAGGTTTTAATTGATGCCTTTTTCTCCACACACTGTTCATTCTTGAGACCTAACACTGGGTTAAACATGACAGATTACAAGCAGTTCTAACAGGTTCACACATTATGGGAGGTGGCTGTCTTCTATCACCTTCTGTGGTTTAAAGAAATGAGAGTGAGTGGAGTTTGTAGCTAAGTAAACAGGCAGAAACTTTTGTGATTTTCCAAATTAAAGAGTGGTTTGCTGCAAGGACTAGCAATGACAGCACCAGCAGCTGTACTGGTAATGAAAGCACGCCGGAGACATGGGCCGAGCCGCTGGGTTGACTCGTCTACACCTTCATCTCTTTGTGTTGCATCCAGGAGAAGGTGCTAAATCAAACTTGACTGTGTGCAGGTATACCAAAGAGCTACAAGTGCTGTTTACATACGAGGCTTTTAGCTGAAGCTTCCCCGCAGAGATCTCCAGTGAGGGAGCAGGTGGAGACGCTCAGGATTCATCCATTAAACTTGCTGCCAGGCACGGCTAATATGCTTTTAAGGCTGCRTGAGCTGCCAAAATGTGTGTCATGGGAACAAGAGAGCTGCTTTTTATCTTTACCTAGTTTTTTTCATACCACCAGAGCAGAAACCTGCTCTGTTTCATCACAAATCATTTTATTATTACACAGAATTTAGATTTTTAAAAATTCCATTATTAACATGCATTTGCAATGGATCTCATAAAGAAACTTTTAGCATTGAAATTATTTAAACTATTGTTAATATTTTAAAATGACTGTAAGAATGTCATGCTCCTTTATGAGACAAATTGTATACAAAAGAATAGCTTGAAGGAATGAAAGTTTTAGACACATATTGTGTTTTGCTGAGAAAATAATGTTGTAGTGATTTGAAACTGATGATAAGTGTGCATTACTTTAAAAATCCTTTTATTTGGGCCTTACTTATACATGATGATTGTTTAAGAAAATTCAGATCAGCTCAGTTTTACATGATTCTAATTTTCCCTCACAGCCAAAGATGCATAAAAGCAAAGCGAATGACTGCTTAGGTCCACACGGCCATTTTTCTTGAAATTGTTCCACAATTTCTGTAACATTTCAACAATTCATATAWTAAAACTATCARCTCCTTCAGGACATTTCAGCTATGACTCTTAGCTTCAGCAGGTTATACATTTTAAATATTAATCATTTTTTGGCGATTTGTGTTCTCACTGAAAATAATGTTTTCAACATCCTAAAAAACTCTTAAAATTTGTTAAACCTTTCCTGCACTTTACATTGTTTGTTCTGATTCTTTTTATATTTCTGAGCTAATTTATGCTTCCGTCAGCTTTCTTGCTAAATTTAGCTTTTTACCTGCCTTTTCAGCTTTTTTTTTTTTT